CTCTAGCATTAAAGCTAGGCTGCTAGACTACTTAGTATTGCCACTGTTCACTTCTGTTCCCTTTTGAGTTTTAATCTTATCCAAATTTAGTTGTGTGATGTGTGGGCCCTACCTCAGAGAATCTGTTTTCTTAGCCTGTGGTGTGACTTGAGCATTGGTGATTTAGAGGAGAAAAGATAATCAACTATGTTAAAAGTTGTATTTGTTTCTAAGCCTGTATATTCCCAGTTACACCTTTCATTATCACAGTTTAATTAACTGCTAACTTTAGATTAAAGGAATTATGAATATGGCAAGGTATTTCTATGAATACCAAATCACTTGCTTTGGAATTACTCAAAGCTAGTTGAAGATTATAGTTGAATTAAGTGTATAAAAGACAACTATAAAAGGTTATGAGAAAATCTTAAAAGGTCCTGCATTCAGATTTGTTCACAGATGTCTTCAGTTATCCTGCTATTTTAAAGAAATTGAGAATGATAGCTTTCACATCGTGTAAGCAGTTTGTGGTCTGTACAAGACAAAAGGCATATTAGTACTGCTCAACAAAAGAGTCTTAATCATTTGTTGATTTATATATAATTAAGTTAAAATGAAATGTTTTCATAACTCCTTTTGGTCAGATATTTAGATTTTCCTGTTGATCAGTTAATTATCAGTTTTTTATACACTCTGTGTGTGTGTTCTCTTGTATTTGATGTAATCATAGATAAAAAGCTTTAAATGTCCTTAGAGAAAATAGACCCTGGGAAGTGATGTGTCTTGTAGAATTTCATAGCTAATGAATTGCTGGTTCTTTTATTCAAATCAAGGACATTTGTGTCAGTCCAGTGGTCTTTGCAGAAATACTTAATTGATTTTGGTGTTGTTCTTTGTTGCTAATGAGGAGCTGTACTCTGTTTAGAAAAGATGGCATAATTGAAACAATTTATGTAATTCCAATCTCAGCCCATATATTTGTGATGTTCCTTGCTTTTCTCAGGATTAATATTAAATAGCTATGAGGCAGAAAGAGCTTTTCAGTGCATGTGTTATTTTAGAACTTGAAGTAGTATTGAAGCAACTGTTCTATGTGCCTCTTGTAGCCATTCTCCAAGCACTTTCTGAACAGTGCTTTGGCCCTGAAAGAGGAATCAATAAGTCAATATTATTGAGTGCATCTCGTGTTCAGCATATTATTTAGCACTGGGGATACAACTGAATAAAACGAACACAGCCAAGTAAAACAAAGTCCATGCCTTCCTGAGATTTTTTTTTTTCCTAACGGGGAAAGTATTTGCTTCAGGTATTAAGTGCTATATAAAAAGTGAAAAGTTTGGAGATATTAGAAAATAAAACTGGACAATCAGTCCAGTGGAATAGTCTAGCCCTAAGGAAGAATAGAGAGGTTGGGAGTCATGACAGCTGCTGTATACATATAAGTGATATTTTAGATACACTCTGAAGTATTAGTGGGACTTTTCAGGTGAATGTGGGAGAAAGAGGGAAATTCATGGAGAGTGGGTAGGGCTGAGCAAACTTGGCAGAGGCACTTAGGTAAGAAGAGGCATATTTTAGTTTGAGAAATGGAAAGTATGTGTGTCTGCAGACAGTGAGGAAGAGGTTGAAATAGATGAATGAGGAGGAGGAGGAAATAAGCTTGGGTATAAATATGCAAGGTCTAAGAGAATGTATTCATACTTAGCCCTGAGAATAAAGGACAGATATTGAAGAGTTTTAAACACTCATTTTGTGCTATTCTTGTTTTTTTAAAGGATAACTCCAGGTGTTTTGTGAAAAATGGGATGGGTGACAGTGGATATGGGAGACTTGGTTGTAAGGATAGTGTTGAGGAGTTAGGATAGTGGTGTTAGAGATAGGTCATGCAGAATTTTAAGCTCAGAGAAAGTATGCTTTATAGTTTGGCTTTGCTTTTGTGCTCTAGATAAGACTTCATTGCTGTTTTATTTGTTTCCTCTTCTTAATTCCTTCTTGCAACCATTTTGTGGAGATGTATAAGCTTCAGTAACCTAATGTATATTTTACTTTTTAAGGTTAAGGTTGACTGTATTATTTATTTGGCCATATGTTCTGGTCACTTTCTCATTGCTGGGACAAAATACTTAACACCTACATCTTAAAGGAGAAGTTATTTTGACTCACGGTTTTTAGAGGACTCAAGTCTATAGGTGGCAGGCTCCAAGGCAGGAAGTGAGTGGTGGAGGAAAGCTGCTAATGTCATGGTGGTCAGGGAGCAGAGAGAAGGGAGATGTTGGGAATAAGAGTACACCTTTCCTGGTCACTTTCCTAGTGACCTGCCTCCAACTTGTGTGATATACTAACCAATGCCTCTAGCATTAAAGCTAGGCTCCTAGACTACTTAGTATTGGCACTGTTCACTTCTGTACCCTTCTTTTGAGTTTTAAGCTTGTCCAAATTTAGTTGTGTGATGTCTGCCACCTAATAGCACATTCAACTACTACTGAACTCATAGTGGATGAATCTAATCACCTTCCAGAAGCTCCACGTCTGAGCACATGAGTTTTAGGGGACATTCTAGATCTAAACTATAATACCATATAAGAACTAAGTTCTTATTTTCAGTTCAAGATATGATAGTTTAAAAATAAAATGGAAGTGTTGGTAATAGGACTCATTGTGTAACAATCCACATATGTTTACTAGACTAAATATCACATGGGGAATATTTTAAACAAAATGAAAAAAAGCTTTGACTGATCATAACTTAAAAATAATTGATATAAGGAGGTGCAGTAGAATGTTGTGTTGTGAACAACAGAAGAAAGTGACTCACATAATTGGTTTTATTCATATTCACATTCCATTTTATATGTATTTATCATGCATCATAATTTTAAGTACTTCACTGTCATCAAAATTTTTTTCTAATTTTGTTGAAACGTGTTATTAGAAATGCTTTGTGTATTTTATTTGTAAGTGGGAAGCAATGTACTATTGTTGTTCTTCCTAATTTAGAAAAGCTTCTTTGAATTAAGATTTCTGTTGGGTTTGCATGTAGCCATTGGAGAAAAGTCAAGAAGAGAAATAATGACCTTGGGTAGAGATACAGAATATCGGTTTTCCCATTTTCTTCACCCTCATTATGTTTCTGTATTGAGAATATATATTTATGATTTAAAAGTTTTTATATACCCTGTTTGCTTGTTGATATCACTCATTTCAAATGTCATTACAGCCCTACAGTGAATTGAGATGGGTTTGAATTGATTTACAAGGGGTAAATTTTATTTTGTTTGAGAATTTTGCTAAATAGAGTCTACTGTGAAACAGACCAGGTATAACTTGAAACATTGTTCTTTTTTCTTCTAAATTTGTTAAAATGAACCTTTTGTGGATTAATGAGCTAATGGCCTATATTCAGTAAACTGCTTTTTTTCTTTTTTTTTTTGATACCGGGAATTGGACTCGAAGTAAATTGCTTTTATAGAATTTTCAAGGATGGATGACTTTGGGTTAATATACATATTAAGATTTTTGAAAGATGCTTATCCAGATTGTGAATTTATTTTTTAAAATAAGGTTACAAGCTGGGGATTTAGCTCAGGGGTTCCGCCGCCTGCCCTGCAAGTGCAAGGTCCCGAGTTCGATCTCCAGTACAAAAATAAAATAAAATGAAATAAAATAAAGAAACAAAAGACTAAAGATTGCTAGATTTTCTTTTTAATTTAGATTTCATATTGAAGCTGAGCTTTATTACCTGTTTATATAGTTATGTGCTTGGCTTTTATATTCTTAATAATGTTAAGTCTTCCTCAGATCTTTGAGCTCAGGGGTGACTTTACATGTTAATTTGTTTCTGTATTCATGTACTTACAGTTAGTCTCTTCATGTATGTAACAAACCGTAGTGTGCCTTTATAATTATTAGTATATGAGTATAAATAACTATTTTTTTAAAAATAGCTATTATTTTCTCAATGCCATCACCACTTTTTAAAGTTTCCTTTCAAAAAGTGACAGTAATCAACTGCTTCACTAGTTCTTTGTTATGTGTTGGTAATTATCATGAATTATTGTGTACTTTTCTGGTTCCCCCAGTACCCTCAGGTAACCCCATTGCCAGTATCATCACAAATAGACCCTTTACCTTCTATCAACTTAGTGTGTTCCAGAAAGGCTGAATTGAGTGGAGTGCTATTTAAAGAAACAGCATTGAGAAAAATATTTATTTAAAAATATTATTTGACCCAAGGAGAGATGTAATTGTATTATCAGTTGTTTTCGTTTTACTGGTGTACTGAATTAGCAGTGTTTCTTAAGGTGTGTTGCTTTTGAGATAAGAGTATTAGGAGGGCTGGGGAGTTAGCTCAGTGGTTCTGATGCCTGCCTCACAAGCCCAAGGACCTGAGTTCAATCCCCGGTACCAAAAAAAAAGTTATTAAATAACTATCAAATTAATGATAACCTTTTTATAGGCATTCTAAAGGCTGTCTTTTATATAGATGCTATTTTATTATATCAGTCTTTAAGCACGTCATTTCTGTGTGAACGGTTATTTCTGATGATCATATTTTTATGTGGTATTATGTACAAACTGGAGCCCATCAGGCTCATACCACAGGTTGCTGTATTTTTGTTGAGCGCTTGGGTTGTATAACTGAACAGAAGACTGTGGAGAATTCAGAACAGATTTAGAAGAAACACTCAAGCAAACAAAACCATTCTGAATCCCTATGTGTTCTTTTATCTTGGGTTAAGAAATGTGGGATATACCTATGGTCAAACTTATTTCAAATTTAAATAGAAAATTAATTTCATTTCCTATTTTAAGAATTTAGATAGTACTTTTTTGGCATATAAAATAATTCAAATAATATTGGTAGGTGACTTAGTAGAATAAAGTCTAAGATATAAAAATAATCAGTGAACAAAAAGTATAAATTTATAGTCTGATTATCATGCTGTGTCGGTAGTCATTAAAATGAACTTTTTTTGTATGCTTTTTTTTTGTATGCTTTTATGTGATGTGTCTCTTATAAGGTCAAAAGAAATAGACTGGCAACCTTATTTTACTACACGAATTGTAGATGATTTTGGCACACACCTAAGAGTATTCAGAAAGGCTCAACAAAGAATAACAGAGAAAGATGATCAAGTGAAAGGTATTGTCTTTATTTTGTTTGATAATTAGAATTTAAAAGTTGATTTTCCTTTATCACTTTGTATATATTGAATTGTTCCTTTCCTTTTCCAGGTACAGCAGAAGATCTGATAAATTCCTTCTTTGAAGTTGAAGTTGAAATGGAAAAGGAAGTTTGCCGTGACCTAGTGTGCACTTCTCCCAAAGATGAAGAAGGTTTTCTTTTTAATAAAATTCTTTTGATGACATTAACTGGTTAAAGACAAGTTCACAGACCACATCTGAGAGTATAGTCTTACATAGAGCAAATAGCATAATGAAAATACTGCATTTCATTTTAACTCCTATAAGTAGTTTCCATAGATTTTTTTTCATTTTTAAAGATTATCTTTAAAAATTAACCTTCTTTTAAAATAAAGCAAATGTTTATAATTAGACATTTTCTAATTAAATATTTACTAGTTTTCTCCTTGACTTTATTATTGACTTATTCTACTTAAAGAGTATAACTGTTAAACCCAAAATGTTTTCTAAGAGAATAATTATATGACTTCAGATAAAATTTATAGATTTGAATGGACTTACTCTTTTTTTATGGCAGGTTAGATCAGACAAGTTTTAGTTGAAGATCTTTGTCCAGTTTTACAACTAAATCTGTGCTACTTGGTCAGTTATTTACTTAACAAGATGACCTATTTAATTTTATTCCTAGGAAGAGTCAGCATTTTTAGTTGTGGGAATTATTTTCTTAGATTTTGAAAATGTTCTAAACTTTTATCTTCCCTTTGATTTTTCTTTCTTTTTCTGTTTTATTCTTCCCTTTTTACATTTATTATAAAATTCAGTTTTTGTCAGTTCATTTACACTATTATGAGATAATAGCTGAATCCAGTAGGTATAGTGATGTGTAGTACATTTATATAAATTCAGTTCTCTTAAATCAGTAAAGAGTATATTCTTCCTTTGTTATTACCTACTAAGATAGTGGAGATTATTTTCTTTGAAAGAATTACAGGTATATTTTTAGATGCACAAATAACTTTTTAAAAAGTATAATGATAATGTGTGGTAAAGTACAAAATACACAGCACAATTTAAAAATTAGTTTGATTAATGAGTAGTAATTATAGAACAGTAAAGGGATTCTTAATGAATACTTATGTGTACTAATTACTAAAGTAATAAGCTAGTAAAACTGAAGAACTGCTTATTTCTATCTTTAATGTGTCTGATATTAAAATTAGGTGCAATTAAAATTGAGGTTTTCTAATATTATAGCTACTTTTTCTATTTTTAGGATTCCTAAGGGATTTGTGTGAGGTCTTATTATATTTATTGCTACCTCCTGGAGATTTCCAGAACAAGATCATGCGATACTTTGTCAGGGTAAGCTTAAACTGTATCAGATAATGACTGTAAAGAAACTTTAAGTAGTGTTCTCAAACTATTTGGTCTCGAGACCCTATTAAACTCATAAAAAATATTGAAGGCCCCAAAGACCCTTTGTTCTTGTGGGCTTTCTCTATAATATTTCTGTTTTATAAATTACATCCAAGAAAATTCTAAAACACAAGCATATACAAGCATATGTTCCATCAGGTGAATAATGGATAATACAGTGTTATGTTCCCTTTGAAAATCTCACTGTATGCTTATGAGTCAATAAGAATGAAATGGTAAATAAGTGTTATTTTGAAGATGGTTTTGACTCTGGCTCCCCACTGAAAGTATCTTAAAGACCTTTCCTAGTCCCTCAGAGGTCACTGGCCAATACTTTGAGAACTGCCTCAGAGTTAGGTGCGTGGATTTCGGTTGTAACAAAAGTATGCTTTTTCCAATTTCTTTAATATTACAACCTTACTTAAATTAGGGTAGATAAAAATATTTCTGGACAGAAACTTAACACTGGGAAACTAGGGTTTTAACTTGGTTCTACTAGGGTTATACTTGAAAGATGAGTAAGATGAAAGATTCTATTCCCTTAATGTAAACCTTTGCAATAAAACTGTTTAAATGTATAGGAGGAACATCTGGCTTTGGGTGCTAGTTATAATGGATAAATGCTAGCTATTTAAGACCTTATCCTAATTGAATGAGTAACAGAAGGTTTAAATTTATAATCTTTTTAGTCTTTCTTCCTGCAAAATGGATACCAATTCCTGAAGCATGGTTTTATGCTTGTATCTTATTATTTAAGCAATACCCACATATTTTCCTAATATTTACCTACCTGTCTTGAATTCAGTATACTGAATGTTATGTAAGTTGTACTTAAATGACTAGAAAGTGCTAATTTTTGATGGGAAGAGTCTGATTATTCTATATATGGTTATGACCAATTATATATTTGGTGTGGTCATTATCAAAGGTGGTAAATACCTGCTGTCTTATCACTGGATTCATACATAACCATATTTCTGATTTCCTCTTTTGCTTAATGTTTTAATACTAAAGTTCTACAGTCCTTTATATGCCATATTAATGAGTTTTAAATTTATATCTTTAGTCCAGACTTTCTTTCTGAGCTCCAGGTTACTCTTTATGAGCTACTCACTTGAAATCACCACTTGAGTAACTCACGCAACCCTTTAAACTTTAATGTCCAAAATAGAAGTATTATCTTTGCCTCCATATCCTGTCTGCCTTTCAGTCTTCATGTCAGTAAGTGGTATGATCATAGAACAAACTTTTCAAATATTAAGTCTTTTCAGAGGCTTACATGGCTCAGTGTGATATACTTCAATTCTCTAGTCTTCACGCTGTGAGTGTTAAAACTGAAGCTAGACAGTAGTCCAAGTAGTAAAATGCATTTTATTCAGGAACTATTGCAATAAGGAAAACAAGACTTCAATACGGAACTGGACTCAGTTTTTAATGTAATAACAAGTGAGTATTTATAGTTACAGAGGGTTGGGATTGGTGGATGGAAAGTTACTAAGAGGAATATCAAGTGTACGGGGAAAGTCTGTTTAAACAAACTTAATGGGATTCTTGCCAAAGGCAGACCAGAGTGATCAGATTATCAAGAGGAGGGCATGAGGAAGTTGATCAGATACTGAGGGTTCGAGAGTTCTGGCTAAACTTCCTTGACAGGATTCTTGCTAAAATTGCATGCAGCAATAGTGAATGAACATGGAAGGTTGAGGCCTAATTGGGAACAGAGGGTTCAGAGGAGCCTACTAAACTTTGGTCAAGTATAAAGTCTTTGTTAGCAGTCACTATACTCTAGTCACCCTTGATTTTTTTCCCTCAAAAGTGCCACTTTCCTCTCCATTCATCACCGAGCTGTCTTTCCTTTGCTCAAGATGGTTCATGTTATTCTTTTGGGTAAATCATATTCTTTTCTCATCTCTGACACTTCCTCAGAGATGTCTCTCTGACCACTGAATCTTAAATTCTCTTATAATTCCCAATGCTTTAGGTAGTCTAGCAGTTGTTCCTTCATAGTATTTAACCATATTTTAAAGTGATAATTTGGTCATTAAATGTCTAGTGTTAACACACTACTTGACCACATAGTAAATACTAAATCAGAAGATCAGTTGTAAGGCAAGAGACATCCCATTTGCCCTTTTGCTGGCTGTGTTGCATGTGCTATTGAACTCCTTTAGGGTTAAGCTGACTCCTAAGAGCTATGAATGAGCATCTGCCTTGTTATATGAGGTTGTTGTTTAAAATATGTAGGATTGGGCAGGGGGATTTTTAGCTCAGTGGTTCTGCTGCCTGCCTTGCAAGTGCAAGGACCCGAGTTCGATCCCTGGTACTCCCCCCCCCCCAATGTAGGATTATAATGAGCAAATGTGTTTTACTATGGAATTCTCTTTTTCTCCAGTATTTCCTTTTGGTTGAATATAACTGAGTAAGGACAATTGTAGAGCACTGCATTTAGAAAATCAGTTTTTGTTCTTTTCACTTGATCTGTATTAGTTTTCTTTTGTCAATAATTAAATTGAAATTAGGAGCTGGATGTGGTGGTTTATGCCTGTAATCCCAGCACTCCTGAGGCAGGATTGAGGCAGAAGGATTGCTGCAAGTTTGAGACCAGCCTGGACGACATAGTGAGCTGAAGGATAGCCTGAACTACAGAGCAAGACCCTGTCTCAAAAAAAAGGAAGTTAGGAAAAGACATTTTTGTTTAGTTTAAATAGCAGAAGAAAGAACCTTTTCCTTTGCATAGGTTGTACAAATCATAGTGTTTGATTGAGGTAATTGCTACTTAATTGGCTTTACTTTCTTTCTATTAGTATGTTTTACTCATAGTTTCAGTGACTTTGTATCTTTCAGGGCCCCTATTGACAGCTGATACTATCTTTTAGAAATTGGGGGTCTTGAAGTAGAAATTACATGAACATGGCTACTTTTTATTATAAGCTCTCACTAGGATCTGTACAGGAATTGAGTCATATGATTAGCGCTTGGTTAATTAGATCTTTTTATTAGGCAAGTTAGAAGTTCAAAGTAGTTTTCTAAAATCAGCTAATTATAAAATTATAAACATAAAATTTACTAAAACTTCTTGCCCATGTCTTCTTTTCTCAGTTTGTAAACAAACTTTGGAAAAACTTTTCTTTGTGCACATGTTTTCACCTTATAAATTATGCTTTAAAATATGAACACATGTTGCCAGAGACATGATATTAAATACATAAAATTTTTAAAGAAGTTAGAGACTAAAGCTAACTTTGAAAGAAGAAATTCCTTGTGATTTGGGACTGAAAATATCTCAATACATTTCTAAAAATTCCTGGAGTCTTCTTTAGTGTCTGTTGGAAATATGAATTCATTATAGGGTAATAGTTGCACAGTTTACAACAGAATTATACAAAATATTTCTTTTTTTGAGACAGGATCTCACTATGAGGTTCAGGCTGGCCTCAAACTTGCAGTGATCCTCCTGCTTCAGCCCCCTGGGTGCCAGGCGTGCGCCACCATGCCCAGCCCAAAATATTTCTTTCAAAGAAAAAAAAGATCATCTTCTAGTAATGCATATCAGAAAATAGCCCAGATAAATTAGAGATCTGGTAAGAGGAATAAATTGGCCTTTGGTTTAGAAAAATGAAACATATTAAGGTAATTATTTTAGATTTCTAATATCATCAAAAATATTTTACACATTTATATGTGACAGGCATTAAGGTTAATAACAAGTGTAAACATTTTATTGATAGAATTAGTTCTAAATTCTTGGTTATCATTGCCTGCCTGAGAAGATTGGAGGGTATAATAAATACTTTTGAAGGTAAGTCAGTAGGTCAGTTGATCAGTTCCACTCATAGAAGATTCATAAATTTCAGTAGTCAATTAGAGGAATATAAGATATATAGTAATGTAGAAAATATTAACTGAATATCGCTGTACGTAAATACAGGCACGGGTATATTTTCAAAACAGAAGTGAGGGCGGGGGATTTAGCTCAGTGGTTCCGCTGCCTGCTGCGCAAGCGCAAGGACCCGAGTTCGATCCCCGTTACCAAAAAAACAAAAAACAAAAACAGAAGTGAAAGTGTTCAACTGAAATGATCAGGGTTTATTTAATAGGTTAATTCTTCCATAAAACTTTAGAAGAGGGGGAGAATTTTTAAAAGTTGGTGCATAAATAACTGCAAAGACTGGAAAGGTATATGGAAAGAGAGTGGTGAGAAGTTTATATTGCAATTTATTTATTAGGAAAATATTCAAAACTAGGAAAGTATAGAGAATGCAGTAGACATTTATGTACCAGCTACCCGGATTTAATCAGTGTTGATATTTTACTGTAGCTGCTTGGTTTATCTCCTTGAAATAAGCACAATTTAAAAATTTGTGTGTTGAGCCAGTGGTTTAGTTCATGGTACCACCGCCTGCCTCACAAGAGCAAGGTCCTGAGTTCGATCCCTGGTACCCCCCCCCCAAAAAAAACCCTGGAGTTTTATCTTTTGCATTTCCTTTTGTGTTTTTATACTTTTAACTTAATCTGTACTTAATATATTTTACTCTCATCTTTTGCCTTTTAAAAATTGACATAAATATTAATGTACTAGACATGTCCTTTTGCTTCTTTTCACTCAACTCTAATTGTTATTGTGGAGATGTGTCCAAGTTGATATAGGTAACTTTATCTCATTTATTTTAATTCAAGTATGGTAGATCACTTAGTTATAGTAGGGATAAGATTGCATTAGATATCTTCTTTTACATTGATGTGTATCATACTTATATAACAGCATTGTACTAGGAAACTTACTTTCCAGTGAATTGAGAAATAGTATTAGATTAAATTTATTGTTTTTCTTACAAATTTTTTTTTTAGGAAATCCTTGCACATGGAATTCTTCTTCCGTTAATAAATCAACTCAGTGATCCTGATTATATTAATCAATATGTCATATGGATGGTAAGTACCTTTTAAAATTACATCTGTTTTTGAAAGTTTTTAAAATATGAAAATAAAGTTTGGATATTTACAAAGTGATAAACAATTTACTGAAGAATTTAAGTAAAAAGTATTTCTAAAATAGTCCCTATATTTATTTAAAAATATGATTTTTTTGGTCCCTGTATTACAGATTATGAATATTTTTTAACAGCTACTGTTGATTGAATATTCTTTATCCAAAATGCATGGGACTCTGAAATGTTTGGATGTTGGAATATTTCCATACACATAATGAGATATCTTGGGGATAGGACTCTTGTAAACATGAAATTCATTTGTGTTTCATACCCCATTAATAGGAATTGAAGGAATTTTATGTGTGTTCATTAAGGAGATTGACCTGTAGTTCTGTTTTGGTTGGATCCTTCCCTGGTTTTAGTATCAAGGTAAAACTTGCTTCCAGGAATGACTTTAGGAGTATTGCTTCCCTTTCAGTTTCATTAAGGAGCTTGAGGAGTAGTGACAGTAGATCTTTTAAGTTCTTGTAGGAGTCAGCAGTGAGTCCATGAGGACCTGGGCTTATTTTTGTTGGTAATTTTTAAATTACTTCAGTTTCATTGACTGATAATGAATTATTTAGAATTTTTTATCTTCTTGGCTCAGCTTTGTAATTTATATTTATCTAGGAATTTGCTCATTTCTTTGGGGTTTTCCATCTTTGTTAGAATACAAGTTCTCAAAGTAGTTATGGATGATCTTCTGAATTTCTTCAGGATCAATTGTAATTTTCCCTTTTAATTCCTAATTGTGTGGATTTGGGTTTTTCTTCCCTGTTTTGATAAAGTTAGCCAGGGGTTTGTCTATTTTATTTAATCTTTCAAAGAACCAACTCTTTAATTCATTGATTCTTTATATTGTTTTCTTAGTCACAATTGTATTAATTTCTGCTCTGATCTTTATAATTTCCTTCCTTGAACAAACCTTGGGTTTAACTTGTTCTTCTTGTTCTAGAACCTTGAGATTCTACATTAGATTATTTACTTGAGCTCATTCTGTTTATTTGTTGTGGGAATTTACTGCTATAAATTCCCATTGTAGGACTGCTTTCATTGTGTCCCATAAATTCCAGCATTGTCGTATCAGCATTATCATTTAATTGTAGAAATTAATTTCTTCTTTAATTTCATCTGTGGCCCAGTTGTTGTTCAGGAGGGTATTTTTTAATTTCCATGTGTTTATGTACTTTTTGTGGTTTCTTTTGCCATTCACTGCCAATTTCATTGCACTGTGATCTGATAATATGAATGAGATTCATTGGTGAGTTGAGACCATTTACATTGGTGGTTATAACTGATAGCTATTACTTGTCCTTGTCATTGTATTATTTTCTTGTTGTTGGTTCTCTTTCTTTCTATTTAATTGCTTCCTTTGCCTATTGGGTTCATTCTATTGGGATTCTTGGAATTGTTGTCTTTTTCTAGAATATCCTTCAGAAGTTTTTGGAGTGCTGGTTTAGTGGTCATTAATTTCTTCAGGTGTTCTTTATCATAGAAGTATCTTATTTCTCCATCAATTTTGAAAGATAACTTTGCGAGGTACATAAATTTGGGTTGGAAGTTGTTTTCTTTTAGGGCTTGAAATACTTCAAGCTCTCCTTGACTTAAGGGTTTGTGTTGAGAAGTCTGCTGTGATTCGGATGCATTTTCCTTTATAAGTAATTTGTTTCTTTTCCATAATAGCTTTTAATATTCTGTTCTTGTGTTGAATTTCTGGAATCTACAGTATTATATACCCTGGTGTAGTTTTTTTTCTAATCATGGTTAATTGAAAGTTCTGTATGCCTCCCTTATCTGTGTATCAAATACTTTTTCCATGCTTGGAAAGTTTTCTACTAGCACTTCTGTTAACAGGTTTTTTATGTCCTTTGTGCTATCTTCTGAGTTTTCATTGCTTCTAGTTAATCTTAAATTATTATTCTTTTAATCGTCTAGCACCTGTTGGATTGATTTTTTTGTGATCCCTTGCTAAAGAAGTCTTTTCATTTGATGATTGCCAAACACAACCCTGTCTTCTTAGCTCTGATATTCTGTCTTCACACTGGTTGACTCTACTTTCAGTAGAAATTTTAATCTCCTGGATATCTGTTTGTGTCTGTTTTATGGTATCCAGGTCTTTCCTGTGTTGGGCATTCATGGTTTCCCTGTGTTTGCTAAGCTCCTCTCTCTCTTTTTTTTCAATCATGAAAAGCCAATTACGTGCTTTTTAAAAAGCCAGGCATAGAATGTTATTTAATGCTTGAATTCTTTATTTTACTTCTTTTATTAAAAATGATATGGGCACTTTATATTTATATGAAATTTATATTATATGAAATGAATAGATCTTAACTCTATAGTTAGTAAATTCTGATAAATATATACACTTGTGAAAGCACCATACGTCAAGATACAGAGCTTTTCCATCATCCTAAAAAGTTCTCTTTTGGCCACTTCCAGTAAGTCTGTACCCTCCTTTTCTCAGTGGCAATTCCTCTTCTGTTTTTTCCTAATGTACTTTTTCCCATTCATACACTTATATAAATGGAATCATGTACTTCTTTATGTCTGGGTTCTTTTGCTTAACATACTAGTTTTGAAAATTTCCTTGTGCTGTTCATTCTGTTTCAGTGCTAAGTATTCTATTTCATAAATTATAAGTTGTTTAGCTAGTTTTATATTGGTGTACAGTGAGGGGTTTTTTTGCTATTAAGAGTAAAAGCAGGGTGTCTTAAATATTTTTGTGCATATCATTTGATGGATATGTTTCTGGGACATAGGGTAAATATATGTTTAATTTTATGTGCTGTTGGTAAGAGATAAAACATCAGCAAGATCATAGAATAAGAAGCCGCACATCACATTCCTCCTTATAAATACCAGTATAACAACAGTACTACTATATCTGGTTCAGAAACCCTTTATGAGAACTCTAGAAACTGGTTAGGAAGACTCAATACCCCAGGCAAGTTGGAAGCCAAGAATAGCCACATTGATATAAGTAAGAAAAGCTGTTTCATGTTAACTGCGTTAGCCACTGCCCCAAGCTGGCACAACAATAGGAACAAAAAGCCTAATTTGTACATTGGGATGAAAGGAGAAGAGTGGAAATATGTCCAAAATTCTGGCTTTTCAGAGAGCTGTCCAAAGGACTGGTATCTTTCTCTTCTGACTTGAACTGCTGATGGGGAAGTAAGCATACTTTTGTTCCCTGGGGCTACAGAGAACAAAAGGGAAGTCATTACCTTGTGGTAGAGCCAGAGGACTTATAATAACATGGATGAAAGCTGATACCGACTCACTCTGATTGGCATTAAGTGCCCAGTTCCTGGCGTCTTCCATGAGAAGAAAGAGAGAAGAACATGTGTCTCAACTCTGGATTTTTCAGGGATGTTCTTGAGGTACAGTTATATGTCTCACTTGAATTGAAGTACTCTTGAAACTAGCGTATCCTGAATGCCTGAAGGCTACCAAGAACAGAGCTCAACAGATTATTGCAGAATCTTAAGAACTTTTACTACTGCACACAAGGCACTAGATGGAGCAAGGACTATAAATAAGCTCCTGGAAAATTAACTAATTGAGAAATTAAGTAGAAAGTTACACACAGAAACCCAGAGAAGATACAGCTTTATAAATGTTTTGAGAGTTGCTCAGCTTCTTCCTGGGCTGGTTAATGAAAGTCTTCTCTCATATAAAGCCAGCGTATAAAATCTACAAGAGGAGCTGTTTTTTTTTAATAACATTGAAAAGACACATGTACCCCCCCCCCAACAAAACAAAAAGCCAGGTTCCCCCAAACAGTAAGTGAATAAATATCCAGGGACTAATCCTAGAGAAACATTTGTGGATCACCTAGCAAAAAATTCACAATAATCATGTTAAAGAGGCTCATTGTGCTATTAGAGAATATAGATGGACAGCTAAACAGAGTCAGGAAAATGAAAATCTTAAAGAAATAGAAACTATCCTGGAGCTGAAAAATGTCCTAATTGAATAAAAAATTCACTAGAGGAGAGCAACAGTAGACTTAATTAAGCAAAGAATAATCAGTGAACTTGAAGACAGGTTATTTGAAATCACTGACTCAAAGAAACAGCAACAGAAAAAATATGAAGAAACTTAAAGAAAGCTTAGGGAACTTAGGAGACAGGTGGGATTCTAAGAATGAGAAAGGGGACAATGAACAGAGAGCTCGTGTTAAGAAATAATAGTGAAAATGGCTCAATTTTGAGGAAGGAAATGGACATCCAAATTCAATAAGCTTAAAGAACTCTACCTAGGATGAACCCAAAGAGGCTTACACAGAGAGGCATTAAAACGAAATGATCAGGGCCGGGGATTTAGCTCAGTGGTTCTGCCGCCTGCCTCGCAAGCGCTAGCGAGGTCCTGAGTTCATTGCCCGGTACCAAAATAGAAAAAAAAAGAAATGATCAAAAGTCAAAGACAGACTTGTTATTAGTTTAAAATAGATTGTTATAATTGTAAAATGTTATATGTAAATTCCATGGAAACCATAAAGAAAATTCCTGTAGAATGTGCCTTAAAAAAGTAAGATGGAGGGCTGGGGATATAGCTCTCTGCCGCGCCTGCCTGGCAAGCACAAGGTCCTGAGCTTGATTCCCAGTACCAGGAAAAAAAAAAAGTAAGATGGAACTCAGTATGTTCCACCAAAACAACCAATACATTGCAAAGGAAAGGCAACGAGAAGAACAAAATACCAGGAAGAAATACAGAAAATAGTGAAAAGTTATTAAGACCCTTTGCTATTAGTAATCACTTTAAATGGAAATGGATAAAAGACATAGAATGCCTGAATGGGCAAAAAACAAGATCGGAGTGCTCTGTACAAGAGATTCACACTAAATAGGAGGTGATACATAGGCTGTAAATGGAAGGTTGGGATATTCCATTCAAATGGTCAGGCAAAAGAGAGCAGAGGTGGCCAAACTTACTCAAATGTCATTTTAACTCACACTCTCT